GCCTAGTGGCGCTGCAGACTCTACAGCGAAACCCTCGTCAAATAGGTGCTATGACCCAATCAAAGCAGCCAACTTCCACCGCGGTGAGGGCAACCCCGGCGTTGGCCCAAGAATGCGCATCAAGGAGCGTGTCAGTGGTGCGTGTTTCTTGGAGGCGTGCGTTGATTGGCTCGATCGCGGTGTGATTTTCCTGACAACCGTGTTGCTGAGTGTTCCTTGTATCAGAATCTCTGGCAGGTGCGAAAGTGCACTTGAAACTTACATCCGTTCTAAGTAGGTGTCGACATGTTTTGCCCCGAGTTCGCCATATTGCAGAAACAGGAGCCCATCCAGCCAAACATCCGCCTGTCTACTACCACATTTACAAATATGTTCCCAATCTTTTGGGGCAGACTTGGACCCCTGCAAAAATACTGCTTCAGGTTGGAAGGACAAATGAAGCAACACTATTAAGCAAAAGCCGAAAGGTAATCTAAGCCTGTCAATGTCTGTATGGAATGCATGACTTTCAAACAGAAACCTGGACGAATTGCAAGTCACCAATGAAGGATATGGCATAAAACGAAACTTTTTGGGTGAGGTCGCCATGATTTGCCCAGCAAAAGCCACGACTCTATGTATGCATCTGTTGTGGCCGCACAGAATGTAAAGAAATATGTATGCGTTTTTTTTGTGTCTGTGGCTGTGGCTCAAAAAAACCGGACCCGGTGGAAACATGGACCAAAACCTGTTGAGCCATACCCATGTGGGTATGTGATATGTCTATCTGCGCTCGCTGTCCAGTCTGCGCTCCCTGCTTTTCTGCCAGACGCTTTCGCAACGTTCGCAACGGCACCCCGTATTTGCCAAGGCGCCAGAGCGGCTGGTGAGGTTGTAGGTGACCGGCTGGTACCCTGGCCAAAGCTGTTCGACACTCACCACCATGCAGGAAATGTGTCCAACATCAGTTCGGTTAAAACCATCCTGCGTAAGGAGGTCTGCCTAATTTCAAGGGCTATGCAAACTCCAAAGGCCCATAGACTTATCCGTCCAACCTAGAGGCATCACCCCCCCCCCAAGCAACAAAACTTGCGTAAAATTGGCGCCCAAAGTGATGGGTGTGGCGCATTTTTGAGCGTATACCTTTTTGGCGATGACATTCAAAAGAACCATAAAGAACCCAAAGGAAACCGCCGTGTGGGGAGGCCCTTTCTTAGACACCCTTCATAGGGACTTCACAAGGTTGAACCCTACTAAGCTATAGCAGCTATAGGGAACCCCTGCAAATAACACACACCAAACAAATATATGGCCACTGCAAACTCAACAACTTCAAAATCAAAGTCGAAAAATCAAACATTAAACTCAATTGCAAAGCTCCAAAAGTCCCGAGATCCCAAAATCCAGGTTCTATCTCCAAACTTTACATGGAGCCCCTGCAATTTCCGGTGTGTTCTTGAACATATATATATATATACACATATGTTTTGTTTGTTTGATTGTTTGTTGTTTGTTTGATTGTTCGCTCGTACGTCCGTATATTTGTTTGTTTAAAATTGTTGAGTTGCTTGCTTGATTGTTTCCTTGTTTGCTCGTTTCCTTGCTTCATTGTGCTTTGTTTGATTGTTTGTTTGTTTGTTTGTTTCTTTGATTGACTCACAGACTCACAGACTCACACACTAATTGATTGATTGATTGATTGATTGCTTGCTTGCTTGCTTGCTTGCTTGCTTGCTTGCTTGATTGATTGATTGATTGATTGATTGATTGATTGATTGATTGATTGATTGATTGATTGACTCTTCAACTGATTGACTGATTGACTGACTGGCTGACTGACTGACAGACTGATTGATTGTGTGTTTGATTGTTTGACTTTGTTTGTTTGTGTGTTTGTTTGTTTGTTTTTGGCTGTTCCTTTCAACAAACCGAAAACAGCTCTGGCCACAACAAACGAGCTGACCACAAACAACAAGTCCGAACAAGACACAACAATAATAAACAATTCAACGACCCAAACCAAGAAAAACAAAAAAGCAGAACAAACAAACAATAAACTAAACAACTACCAAAAAACACAGCAACAAGTTGAACCCCAACACGAGCAACTTCTTGCGCTTAGGTGCGTGTCCACCAGGCGGCTCCCTGGATATGCTCCGTGGGCGGAGAGACTTGGACCGCGTGGAAGCCCTTGGGCCCCAGCCAATTCTCGCACTCTTTGGCCACGTCCTGGCTCGGTTGCTTTCTGCTCCCCTGCTAAAAGTTTCTAACTTTTAGTGGTTTAATGGAAAACCCATTAATTGGCAACAAGTTAAAGTCCTAACATCCAAGCAAAATGCACCAAAGCTGGCGCTTGCACAAAAACCTGGGCTGCCCGCTTTCAGCTCCCCGAAAAGTGAATAACTTTTATGGGCCAAATACGGAAACACGATCACTAAATCAACTAAAAAGCTAAAATGCTAAGGAGATGGCTGGGAACCACCAAGAAACGAGGGCGGGTAGTGGGCAGGCTGGTTCATTATCTTTCTGTGGCACCATTTCCCGCCAAAAGATTAGTAAAAAAGGAAGAGATGGCATGCGAGGGCTAATGAATATCTTGGACAAGTCCTCAATAACCCGTTGCGATCTGAACAGTGAATCGAACAAACACACAAGCTTGTGGGCACGGAAAGCCACCGAAACCTCCGGTTTCGAGCCCAGGAACCCAGAAAATTCAGGGTATAAGTATAACCGAAACCAAGTTGCAAAAAAAAACACAAAAAAAAACTCGCTCAACAAGAAATCCTGTTTCGGTTCCACGGCCTCTCAAAAGGCGCAAGTTCCCACTGGCTGCAACAAATCCCTGGGGAGACCGCCCTGAATGGAATCCAGCCGCTCAAAATGAAACAAGCGGAGGCAAGAAATCATGGGCCCGGGATTGAAGCAGTGACTCGAATTTTGCTTGAGCTGATCATGGTGGTGGAGAGCCCATGGCTAGTGATATGGGATTCCAACCGCCGCCCAGCCCCCAGAGTTTTCTCCACATAAGATTTGTGATAAGGCCTTTTTGGAGGAAACCAGGGGCGGTGACGTTGAATAGGGTTTCCCATTCGCAACCAGTGACCTGAAAGTTCCAACAGCAACTGAAGCCACTACGCGTTGCTTGGTTGACTCCGTTTTTGTGACCAGCAAAAACAAAACACACAATGTGAGAGGACATCCAAAACGCGCCTGGCCTCTCCGTGTTCAAATGGGTCTCCGCTGGAGAAAACAGCGCCAACAAGGCCTCAAGTGCTTACTTCATGGAAGGCAAATGGCGGTTGTGAGTTCAAGGGTCTGCCCCTACATGTTGCTTGAAGGAGTAAAGAAACTGCAAAAACACCTTTAATCAACTATTGCTCCGACAACCTTTAAGCAACCTGCATAGACCTGTGGATTCGCTTCTTGCCTAGGTCCTCCAGTAGAGGGGTTAGAATAAGGGTACCCTTTTTTCTGTAGTCTGTTTTAGTAGGGGGTGCCTCCCAACCAAAAAAAGAGGTGAGAAAGGGCACTAGTGGGGGGCCAAGTTGCTTTAAAGGGGCCCAGCATGTGCGCCAAAAATGAACCCAGGCCGCCCTCCTCCCAGGACCACTCGAAGAGGTGCACGAAGACCTCCTTTCGGCCAATCGGCTTCCGCCGCAGGGCAGAGGCTGCAAGTAGCTGGACCAGCACCTGGGGTCGGCAGAGTCGAGGTTCCCTATACTTGGTTGCTGCAACGACCCCTCGGCAAAATTGTTTTAAACTTTTTAGTGGGTTTAGTGGAACCTTTCCTGATTTCCCAAAAGGTTCAAGTCTAAAGATCCAACCCAATGGCAACATCACCACAATCCCAAGGGAGACTCACCTCTCGGCCAAAACATGCCAGGAAGAAGCAGTGTAAGCGATTGTGATTTATGTGCTACTTGTTCTTTCCGTGTTATGGCTCCATGGGCCACGACCTTCTTGGAAAGCGACTGCTAAAAGCTCCATTGTGCGTACGTGTTGCAAGCAGCGCGGACACGTCCGTGCCACACTCAAAAAAATAAGGCAGCAACAAAATCCGCAGTGATAAAATGCTCCAAAGAAGAGCATGATCCTTTACCCTCTCGGCCATAGCCTACAGTTACAGGGGGGCTGCGCACTTCCATGTTAAGTTGGTGACCCCCCATGCTGACACAATCTGGCCATATCGGTGTAAAGCTGGACCCTTGCTTTCCCTAACCACGCCAAGACTCGGTCACAGTCTTCATGTGCGCGGAACAGCGCAAACGCTGCGGCAGAAGTTGGGGCTGCCGCGAAGCTCAGGCGCCCCAATGGGGTTGCAAGGGCGCTGAGGACTTGTTCGGTATCAGATGCATCTAGCCGCTTTGAGTGCTAGCAGCTCGCGTCAGAAAAGCGAAAGGCGTAACGCGTTCGGAAGGCAAGAAACGGAGCATCCAGCTGCGCAGCCCCAGTCTTCAGGTGCATAAGTGTGTAACCGTGAAACTATCACTTGCGTGGCATTTGATGTCCACCATTGGATTTGTTGCGGGTGCCGTTTTTTCCATTTTTTAAGAAAAACACATAACACATAAACATCATCCTAAAGCATCATCTCTTGCGCAGCTTGCACGCACATGTTCCCTTTCCACAAGGCCCACACCACACGCAGCGAAAACCATCAAGCCGGCTGTTGAAGTGATGACTATGGCAGCGACCGCTGGAAACTCAAAATGAACTTTGAGGTTGTCTTGAGGAACCCCATTCTACATGGCTTGACCGGCAAACCAAACGGGAGTGGTTCCTGATGTTGCGAATCACCCAGTGGAATCTGTATGACAAGCAGCAATCAGAAGAAGCAAACCTCATTCAAACATGTCCCCTCAAGACCAAATCCCAAACACGAATATAATATACAACATTGACACTTAAGCCTTGCTTGTTTACCTCTCCAACGTACTAAATGTGTCGTTCATTCCTCTCATTTCGGAATACTCCCCCCAAGTGTCTCTGGTCCAGGCGTCTGGCGTTGGCCCCCCCTGGTCCTCAGTGGCTCCGCCGCAAACATCAGCATGTTGCCGTCTTGCCTCAGCTCACGGCGCGCCGAAGCCCAAAACCAACTGGGCCCATGAAAGCCAACATCTCTCGGTTGCTTCCTGCGAAGCCCTGCTAGGTTTAATTCGGAAAACCCATTGGTTGGCAAAAAGTTGAAGCCCTAACATCCAAGCAAAATGCACGAAAGGTTTGGAATCGCGTCGTGGAAAATCGCTAACCGGGTTGCTCCAAACTCCATAAGCCAAAGAAAACCGGCCAAAAAGCCAAATCATCTACCCCAACATTCAACTCCAAAGTACCTTCAGGCCATACCCCGAAAATATGCTGGGGTCAATATTCATGGGGTGCGGTATGCTCAAAAAGTGAGCTGGAGGCTTTTTGAAATAGGCCCAACCCATCTCCTGCCTTCGCTTCGGGGGCCTCGTGTTTCTGAGGATAGGTTCACTGGGCCCCAGTTTGAGGGTTCACCTTTTAGCGACAAAGCCCCTGTGCAGATTCACCACTTGAATGGTAGCACCAATGTAACAAGTCAAACGCTTTTACATGAGTTCTCTGCTGGTGAGGGACGCCACGGAAGGGAGGCCCACGCTTTTCCCAGTGAGGGATCAATTGGAGCCGAAGGATGGTCAAAGCACAAGGATATCGAGCACCCCGCGACTCAATGTGAACCGAAACAAGCAAGCAAACAAACCTCTGAGAAACACATGCCAAGAATCGTGAAGCTACTCCGCACCCTATCTGCCCCTCCCCCCCACACACACACACACACACACACACCGAAAAATCACCGTTCATCAACTTGCTACGTTCGGCAAAGTGGCGCGACCGCAGCCATCATGATCTCCTTGTCGGAGCTAACCTGGCGGGCACTCCAGGGGAAGAAGAGTCATGGTTGTGGAGATCAGTTCTACGAAAGAGGGGCCAACAATAATAAGAGAGACATATACACATTGTCTAGGGAAATGGGACCCGGTCTGTGATCCCAAGGAAGGCGAACACAACCATCATTACAAAAAGGATGCACGAAGAAAGCTACTAGGCCAGTTCAGGAAAGTGCACAAAGGAAGCAAAAGTAGCCTTGGTAACCGCAATAGCTGCAAACTCAAGAAAGGCCACCACAACTTTTACCACAACAAAAGAACAAAGGGTCTAACTTTGGCATGCCTCCGAGAGGGCAACCTTCCACCAATAACCCACAATGTCGACTCCTGATGCATCTGGTTCGTCAACCTGGTGGATTTGTAGGGGGAGCGTCTCCCCAAATGAGATGAAATGGGACTCTCCCGAAACAAAACTAACAGCAGGGATTCTGAATCCTGAGTTCCCGTTACTTGCCCCCCCCACACATGGCGTACACCAACAGTTCGTATCTCCAGATTTTCTCTCATTCTTAGAAAGCCCTAAAATAATCACAGCTATTCTTGGACGAGACCCCCACTCAGTTGTTCAGTGACCCTGAAAAAAAAGGGCACCCTTTTTGGGGAAGACCAGTTTTAGTGGGGCGGCCACCAAATAAAGTTAGGGGAAGTGCCACTGAACAACTGAGCCCAGATTACCTGAAATTGCCTGTCACCGCCTCCGCTTCGTCTCGCCTTCAGCTCGGGCGCGGCATCCTGCAATGCGTCGCAGTGGCTGCTTACCGCCGCCAGCACCACCTGCGGGGATTCTGAAGGTCGGCACACGGCGGTCTTGTCCGAGGGCACAAAATGAAAGCTCTCTACACAAGATCCGATTGACAGAAGGCCCCCAAAGCAGTGACCCCCCCCAAAAGGACAATCAGTCCGATTGGGCGAGGGGGGGGGGGTCTCTAGAGGCGGTTTTCCATCGGCCGGCCTCGCGGTCAGCGCGAAGCCGTGCTGACGCAAACTGCAAGGCGGTACCTAGCGAGGGCGTTTTAAGCTGTCGCACCTCACTACCAGAAAGGGTTGCGTTTTCGGCTGGGGATACCCTGTGACATGGAAGGGGATACTCTGCTTTAAGCTGGGGATGCCTCTTCTTTTTTTCCGGTCTAACATGGAAGGGTTTGAAAGGAGAATGGCGGACTTCCTGGATCCGTCTGTGGGGGCTCATGTTTGTGGATTTGAGAGTCCCAACGCAGAACAAAAACTTTGTAAGCTGGGGATCAAAAGGAAAACCACGAATTCTTCGGGTTGCCCCTCACAAAACGATACACCCTCATGGGTCTAGATTGGGAAGCTGGGGATACCTTTCCAGAACCGTTTCAGTGTCTGTCAACTCCTCTTAGGCGTTGGGGCAACATCACACGCTTGACCAATAACCCTACAAACCTTGGTTGACGTTGGAAGGGGAGCAAAGATTTAAATTTAACAATTAAGTGGGGATTTCCCACTGAAACACGCTAAGCAAACATGTAAAGTGTTCCCCAAGAACAATGAAACCCTGCCCCGAAGACCCGGCTTGAGATTCGTGAGTCCGGCTGTGCAGTTTTGCCAACCTTGACTTACAGCGTGTGCAACGGCGCTTGTCCAGCCACTCGCGTGACAGCATGTTTCCACCAGAAGGCCTTCGACTGATTACCCCGTAAGACAAGGCGTTTGGGTATCACAGGGATAGGAACCCACCCGTCATGTCACACAACTTCCATTTGGTTAAGGCCCCAAAAAAAACAAATTCCTTCCAGTAGTGCTGAATTCCTTTGTGTTGTTGATTTCTGGCTTCCTCGATTCCGCGGAATCGCGGAAACTGTCATTCCCTGAAAAGGCTCCAAGGGCTTCCATTTGGTTAGGACCCCTGGAAAACAAAGATTTCCAGTAGTGATAAACTCCTTTTTTAAAAACACCAACAAAAAAGAAAATATTCCTTTCAGCAAATGGTCGGTACCCGATTTTTTTCTGGGCGTCTATTTTAGTCGGGGAACCCTCCCAACCAAAGAAAAGTAAGAACCGTCCCATGCACTTTACCGAGGATGCGGTCAACCGTTTTGCATGTGGAGGGTGCTCCAAAATGAAACTCACAGCCATACAATATCGGAATCCCTGATTCCCTGATAAACCTGGCCACCGGCCACCGGGTAGCACTGATAAATCCCAAGGAGTCACTGCTTTCCGTGCAATTTGCGCATGAGCAAACATCCAATACGGGATCCAGCAAACTGGATCCAAAAGAAATCCAAAGCTTCCCAGTCGCTTCGCGAGTTTCGACTTTGTACATCTGATGTTCACCACATCCTGCGCCGTTTAGGGCGCACCTGGACATTCTTGCCATCCACATTGTCAACAGCAACAAGAGCCTTGGCGACGAGCGCAAATTTCTGAGAGATGTTCTCCACCGTGTGGAGACTCGGAAATGGGTGCGTGATCACCTTGAACTTGCAGTCTCGGCCTCTCAACAAGGCCTCCTTAAAACATCTGAGCCTGCGGTTGCCACAGACCACCAGCCTCAAACCTAGGTGCCTAACAGCGACCAAAGCTGGAATATCCTCAGACCTGGTGCTTCCATCTACCAACTCTTCAACTAATGAGTCTAGGCTCCTGCCACTGCCCTTACCATGAATGAAATGGTCACTGACCTTCGCATGGCCAAAGCGGATGTCTTCGCTGGCCCAACACCACTCCCATTGGAACCTCCGCTCTGCATCTGGAGAACGTGAGGGGTCCAAACCTCGAATCGCGCCAGAATTCCTCGGGTGCTTTCTCCCCTGCAAAAAGTTGTTAACTTTTAGTTGGTTATTGGAAAACCCCTTAGTTGGCAAAAAGCCAAAGTCCAAACATCCAAGCAAAACGCACCAAAGATTCTCTGCCAGAATTGACTCCAGCATTGATTTCTGCAGCGGGCTGAACGTCCGTGGCCGGCGCGCGGCAGCATTGCCAGGCACCGTCGCAGACCAGTCAGCCGGAGGGTCGCTGACCTCGAACTCCTGGAACAAGCCTGCGCTAACCATCTGCCAGGCCCGATTGGCAAGAACAATGGCAGGGTGACACTGATGATGAAGATAATGATGATGATGGTGACGATGCTGATGCTGATGGTGATGAAGGTGATGATGATGATGAAGAAGATGATGATGAAGATGATGATGATGATGAAGATGATGATGGTGATAAAGATGATGATAAAGATCCTGATGGATGATGATGATAATGGTCATGATGATGTTTTAAAGATAATGAAGATGATGGTAATGATAAAGATGATGATGAAAATGATGAAGATGATGATGGTGATGATGATGATGATGATAGTGATGAAGATGATGATGATGAAGATGATGATGATGATGATGATGATGATGATGAAGATGATGAACATGATGATGAGGATCATGATGAACATGATGATGATGATGATGATGAAGATGAAGATGATGATGATGGTGAAGATGATGATTTGGTTTTGGCAACTCAGGCCCCTGCGGCGCCATGTGTTGCACTCTTTTACTGCTACTGGTGCCCACGTCTGTGCAGTAAATCAAAACTTTGCAACTGGCCATAGTCATGGATGATTGAAGAGACATTGCAGTTGATTAGCAATGATATCCTTCACCAAAAGCATCATCTTCGTCATCATCATCTTCATCATTATCATCATTTTCATCACTATCATCATCATCATCAATACCATCATCATCTTCATCATTGTCATCATCATCATCATCATCATCATCATCATCTTCATTATCATCATCTTCTTCTTCATCATCATCATTATTATCATCTTCATCATCATCTTCATCATCCTCGTCTTCATCATCATCATCTTCATTATGATCATCACCATTATCTTCATCATCATCTTCATTATTATCATCATCAGTGTCATCATCATCTTCAATCTTGTTTCATCATCATCTTCATCATCATCTTCATTATCATCCTCATCATCATCTTCATCATCACCATCATCTTTATCATCATCATCTTCATCACTATTATCATCATCAGTGTCATCATCATCTTCATCATCATTTGTCATCATCTGTGATTCGGGCACGAACCTCTGCCCAGGCAATGGGTAAGTTGGGGTAAACAAGCCACAAAAGAAAGGTTCCCCAAAAACAAACCAATCCACGGTCCCAAAGATCAGGGTTTCCCACACACTAGAGAACAACAACCAAAAGGGAAAAACCAAAACAAGAATACAAGTACCCGCAACCTTGATCGACGATGAACCGCACGGGCGGACCCCACCAATCTGCCCCGGCTCTTTCTCCACCGACACGAAGGTGATCGACGCGGGGACCCGGCGACGCTCATCCGAGGCGCGACCACCGGTCAGTCACTATCGCGACTTCCCAGATGATGGTTTAAACCATGGCTAATCACACCCCCCTCACGAGGAGCCCGTCATCTGACGGGTGGAGCGTGCCATTTACTGATAGGATTTGACTGCTCGCATACGTCCGCAAACAGCTGGACACTACCGCCGTCAGCGGTGGAGCAAACCCACAAAGGCAGTCGCGCGACATCCCGGGCATTAATTCCCGCCACCACCCCGAATTAATCGGGGTAACCCCGACGTGCTCTTGGAATCGGTACGATCCCCGGCCAGGTCCGCATCACAGTAAGCGACTAGCTCAATGAACTCTGGGCTATCGCCCACCCAACCGTACAAATGGAGGTCAAGCGTAGAGTTCACATACGAAATTAGCCTATGGAGCTTGCGGTCGCACAGGTGGTTCCACTTCGTGACCTGGCTGGCTAACGCCTGCACGGGACGAATAAGGTCGCAGCACTGCCGCTGCATCGTTACCGAGGCATCCAGGCTGTGCGTTAAGGGTCTCCACGTCCATTGCCTGGTTGAAGAGCTTGTCAAACTCAGGATTGACGGGGTTCTCGTCAAACTCCGGCTTGCTCTCGTCCAGGAACGGCGTTTCAACCTTTTGCAGCTTCTTCGGGTACTTTCCCTGACACAGCTCGATGCATCTACCGACACATGCCTGCATGAAGCTACTTTCACTGTACTTGATGAACCTTATTGTAATCTCCGGCTTGGGAATGTCCTTAGAGAGTAACCCCTCCGGACCGAACCTCAAGCCGGGCTGTTCCTTATCAGGAGGATTGCCACCGTCCACGCCAGCCTCGGATCAAAATGATCCTTGACCAATTGCTGCGTGAACTCATGCTCACAGCCAAGATATCTCTTGAGCTGTCTTGGCTCCTCCATCTTGATGACCTTTGAGATCAGGGCCCATCCAGCTGCGATATTCTTAGCCGGCCCACTCATCTTGAAGTCATCCACGTATACGACAAGGAAAAGGTCAAGCTCTTCGTGCCTAAACACGCTGGCCCAATCCTTCACTTTGACGTAACCGACCTTCTTCAGCATAGCCTCGCAGTGCTGCTCCCAAAAGGTGCCAGCGTCAGGATGTCCGTATAATGCGAGAACGAGGACGACGACTGGATCCTTATACTTGGGATTCCCACTACTGTCAAACCACTCAGGAGGCCACTGGTCACGAGGAATCCTCACCCAGGTCTTCTTTCCCTTCAGGCGAGCCTGAGTGTACGCCGATTCCCCGTCACTCCCTTCCAGAAGATTCCCGGGAAGTAGCCCGTGAGCATCACTTTCCCGCTGCCATAGTGGCGGGACAGGAGGTGTTTTCAGAGAACAAGGCCCAATGCCCGACCTCATCACGGACAACGCATCCCTCAAAGACGACTCGCCCCTTATACTTGCGATTCGGATCCTCTTCAGGAAGCTCGTGATTCTTTTCAACGCAGATGTCGAAGATCCTACCAACATGGATCTTCTCCCCTTCCTTTCGGGCCCTAGCCGCAAACATCGAACCACTCCTGAACGGTTGACAGGTCCCAGCATCCTTGCGAAGTCAACTTGTCCCACTCCTTTTGTAGAGCAGCCTTCGCCTTGGCATTTCCAGCTTGTTCCTTCTTGTTGACGGGTCTAGCGACACAAGCGTACA